AGCAGGGGAGGGTCAGAGAGAGAGGGAGTCACAGACTGAAACAGGCTCCAGGCTCTGAGCTGGCAGTCAGCACAGAGCCCTACGCGGGGCTCGAACCCACGAACCGCGAGATCATGACCTAAGCGAAAGTCGGACGCTTAACCGACTAAGCCACCCAGGCGCCCCCCAAATATAAATACACTTTTTAAGTATCTGGTTTTGTTATTTTTTCTGCCCTCTGTTGTTACAGGTAACAAAGGCTTTACTGTCTAAAAGGCCAGTAGAACCTGATGTTGTGAACAAAAAGAACCAGAGAGTCCCAGTACAAGGAGAATACGTAAAATAAGGAAGAATATACCATTTTCAGATAGTGGCAGAAATCTTAGCAGTTAAAAAAACACTTAATGAGGGGCGCCTGGGTGGCTTAGTCGGTTAAGCGTCCGACTTTCGCTTGGGTCATGATCTCGCGGTTCGTGGGTTCGAGCCCCGCGTCGGGCTCTGTGCTAACTGCCAGCTCAGAGCCTGGAGCCTGTTTCAGAGTCTGTGACTCCCTCTCTCTCTGACCCTCCCCTGCTTACACTGTCTCTCTCTCTCTCTCTCTCCTAGAAATAAATAAAACATTAAAAAAAAACACTTAATGATATAGGAGTTCCAAATCACCTTCTATTCACCAAAACATTGCCTATTTTTATAGTCAGGACATTTGGACAAATGAATGAATGAGTAAAATTAATCTTACTCAGTGAAATGTAACTACGATTACAGACTATTCTATAGTGCATGTATTTTGAGTCAGGTTTTATAAGCTAACTTGGGCACTTCCTTCCATCCCAAAGTGAAGTCTGACAGCATAGACTTGATTTTTCTTTAAAAAATTTTTAGGTTCATTTATTTATATTGAAAGAGAGAGAGCAGGGGTGAGGCAGAAAGAGAGGGAGAGAGAGAATCCCAAGAAGGCTCTGTGTTGTCAGCACAGAGACTGATATGGGGCTTGAACTCATGAGATCATGACCTGAGCTGAAACCAAGAGTCGGACTCTTTTTAAAAAAATTTTTTTACTGTTTACTTATATTTGAGGAAGAGAGAGAGACAGAGTATAAATGGGGGAGGGATAGAGAGAGATAGAGACAGAATCCGAAGCAGGCTCAGGCTTTGAGCTATCAGCACAGAGCCCAATGCAGGGCTCGAACTCACAAGCTGTGAGATCATGACCTGAACCAAAGTCGGACACTTAACCAACAGAGCCACCCAGGTGCCCCTGACTGCATAGACATTCAAACAGACATGACACCTCTGCAGTTCCCAAGATCCAGACTTTCCAGTCCCCTGAATCATACCACTGTGAACGTTCGAAAGAATATCTGCCGGTACATTACAGGTTACTGTTCTACTAAACTCTTGGGAAGACAGTCCCTGGTATGTGCTCAGTAGCGTCTGTTTACTGGATAACTTCACCTAAGTGCACTGCCTCATGTCACCAACAGAAAATTTGACATTCTGCAAGGAAACAAGAATTTGTGAGCAAGTCCCAGAGTTTTTCAAGCCAGAACTGGAATCTGATACGGGGGCTCCCCTAACATGCTGTTGCCCAAAGGGTTTACTCCCAATTCAAGGCATAAAGCAGAAACTTGAGTCTGTACGCAGGACCTGACAGCTCACTGCTCTTCCCAGCACCCCATAATGGCTCTTATCTAATGCTTTGTAAACACAGAGTGATTTTGAAGGTGGAGAACCTTAATGGTCTTCATAAAATGCAATTTACTTGCTGATATATCATAAAATTTGATATTCTCAAAATATATTGGAAAAAATTTGGAAATTTTCAAAAAGTATCACAAGCCAGTAAGTCAATAATAAACAGATAATTATCAAGTATGTTTGTTATAAAATATGACAAAGTTTGTGAATAAGAAATATGGTAACTTTTCAAACATCATCATAAAGATTACCTTAGCACTACTGTTATCCGCAGAAAAGACTTGATTGTAAACTGTTCCCAGCTCACAGATTATACATGCTACTTAGCACATGCTGGTTTATTTTAAGCATGTAAACCTGATCTTTAGTGTTTATACAATACATTCTAATCCTGACGATCAAGGAGTTTAAAGTTACTATCTACTGTCTCTTTTCTGAGCTGGGTACCTGAAACTGACTAAGTCTTTCTGCTCCCTGCCATCAGTAGGATCTTTCAACTCTGGAGTTTGGGGTAAAAGGTTCTGGGATTGTGGGTAAAAAACTTCACAGGGAAGTAGGAGAAGTAGGAGGTGATATGCTCTTTCAGAATGGATAGATTTTGGATAAGTTTAGAAAGCTATTTCTAAAATCATCTGCATGGGAGAATGGTCAATGTGTGGCTTTAGAGGCACAAAGTTTGGTTGAATAGGGTCATAGATGACAGACCAAAGTTTCTGAACTTGACTCAATAAATAGTAATGGATGCTGTAAGTCCTCAATTTAAGTAGCAATGTAATGAAAGTAGCATGTTCAGGAAGGCAGTTTAAATCCACATGTAATGGAACAGACTTCAATCCACATGTAATGGAATAGGCAGGGGAGAAACAGAATTCAAGCTCTAATCTACCATATAGCCTCAGGCATTATCTTCTCCCTCGTATCCACCCCATATCTTGGCCATATGGGACATTTGATATGCCATGCATGTGCCCCACAATTTCCTCTTCTGTTACTCTGTTTACACACTTCTTCTATCTCAAATTCACTTTGCTTTCCTCCCATATGTGTCAAAATCCTACTTAATTCCATATTGTCACCTTCTCTTTTATAATAATCTCTTCTCTTCTGTGATTCTCACCATATTTCTTTTATATATTATGACCTTGTGTTTTATATTCCAGTTATTTATTTACTTGGCTTCTCTCTTTGACAAGAATATATGAGAAGAAAAATATTTAATTAAATTTAATTTAATGCCAAACTTTATAACATTTATGGCCCCCTACCAAAGCACTCTGCTTTTTATTTCTCCCTGATATCTTCTTTTTCCTTTATTCCTGTCTGTTACATTTTTTTTCTTTGTTTCTTATTACACGATTCCATTCAGCCTGAAGTGGTGGTTCCCAGCTGCTGTGTATCACGTCAACACCCAGCCTCCTCTATCTGAGTTCCAAGGTCTTCCAAAATTTAAATCCGCCTTTTCTGTTCAGCTTCATTTCTTCCTACTTCCATCAGGCAACTCTCTTCACTAATCCAAGAGAAGGCCAAGGTCATTTCAGTCAGGGCGAGATGCCAAGCTATAGGGGATTGGACACTATGATAGTCTTGGTAGGGTAATTTGGTCTAACTGGAATTGTTTCCTACCTTAGCAGGCTTGATGTCCAGGCTGCTGCCCTATGGCCCTGTAACAGCTGATCAGATCTCTGCGTTGTCCTATCCAGGGGATTTCCCGATCCTGAGTTGTGCACCAGGTTGGATCTCTCACTTGCCTTCAACACAGCATCTGGACTTCCTGACTAGTTTTATCCCATCGCTCCACTCCAATCCTAGGCATCTTCTCTAGGCCAGGCTACTCATCTGCCTCTGGTTCCCTTCTCTGCCTTAACTTCCCGGTCCTCCTGACCCCAGTCCATCACACCTTATGACTGACCTCATCTGTTCTCTCTTCACTGTGTAGCTTCTCACTGACTCAGCATCTGTGCCCAGTCAGTCAACACCAAAGGCTCAAGTTGTAACAATTCCCCCTTTGCACAGTTCCCATGTCTATGACTTTGCCATGTTATGAACTGAATTATGTCCCTAGAAAAGACACGTTGGAGTCCTAATCCTTAGTACCTCATATTGTGACCTTATTTGGAAATAGGATTGTTGCAGATGTAATTGGTTAAGATGAGGTCATACAGAAGTAGGGTAAGTCCTTAATTCAATATGTCAAGTATCCTTACGGAGATGGGAAATCTGAACAAAAGACACACACACGCAGGGAGAAGCCATGTGAAGACAGAGACAGAATTGGAGTGATGTACCTACAAGCCAAGGAATGCTAAAGATTGACCGCTACCACCAGAGGCTAGAAGAGAGGCACAGACAACTTCTTCCTGAGAGCCTTCAAAAGGAACCAACCTTGCCAGCATCTTGACTTGGGACTTCTAGCATCCAGAAGTATGAGAGAGAAAAAATAGAGAAGAAAAAAAATGTCTTTTGGTACTAGGACCTTCAGATAAACCAAACCGCCATCTCAAGAGCACCACAGAGTGTTCCAGAGTATACCAACAACAGGTTGGCTAGAGAGATACATGTGAGAGTGCCACTTGCTCAGGCATCACATGCAGCAGATACCCTGTCTGTGTCTGACACAAACTTGCCATTTCACATCAGTGGACTTCACTCAGAAGGCCACATTTGCCTTTCATTCATTCTCAGGGTGAAAAGTGACTGACACAGTGTATACAACGAACTTTATAATCTTAATATTCAACTGGACTTCAGCAGATGATCAAGAAATACTGCCCTAATACTGAGATACCAGCACTGTCTTTAATCTGGTATTTATTATCTTCCTTCCAAAACATGGCTCTTGAAACTTTGTCCTTATTTTAAATAACTTTTCACGCATGTGTATGACTTTTTATTGTAGATCCTAGATAACCTTTTGGAATCATGACAGGAGGAAGAGAGACAGAAAAGGTGAGAAACGGAGGCGGTAAGAGAGAGAACCAGTAACCAAGTAGTGTTGCCAGATAAAGGACGAATCTATTTTTCATATAAATGAGTCCCAAATCTTGCATGGGACATCTTTATACTAAAAATGTATTCCTGGTTTATCCGAAATTCACATTTAACTTAATCTGTCAACGCAAAGGAATTTTCTAGCTCTTCCTCTCCCAAAGCTGTTCTGTCATACAAGTACAGATACAGGATTTGTCTGCGTGAGCCACCGGTAGCTGCAATGCAAGCAATTCTCTGGGAGTTACACATAACAAACAAAACAACAAAAATAAACAACAACGAAAACTACCCAACGGCATAAACTCTGCTGTGAAAACAAGATCCATAATTCAAACCTTTGTTGGTGGCTGGTCAGGGATGCAGTTTATCCGTTCCACTTCACTGACCACTGGACACTCAGCAGAACCCGGGGTGGTACTTGCTGTCCCAGGATCTGGGGTAACTGGTGTCCCAGGATCTGGGATATCCCAAAATCAAATATAAACAAACATAAAATGACCATCAGACAGATATCACAGGTATTCAATATCGCCACAGTTTTCAACACCTTCAATTGTATGAACTCCACTACTGATTGGAATTCACTCAGTATTTCAAGTGTCCTTGAAATGTTCACTTTCACTTTAGAAAGCCTCATTTTGTTCTAGCTGACTGCATTCACTAAGAATCAAATCCACCTTCTCTAGTCCAGGGTTCAGAAAACTATGGCCTGTGGGCCAAATCAGGTAACAGGCTGATTTTCAAATATAGTACTGCTGGAACAAAGCCACACCCATTTTTTAATGTATTATCTCTATCTGCTACAATGGCAAAATTAAGTAGTTTTGGCAGAGACCATATGGCCTGCAAAATCTAAAGTATGAAGTCTCTGACCCTAAACAGAAACATCTGCAGACCGCTCTGGTCCCTTATTTTCACCCCCAGCGATCGGTTCACAATAGGTTTGCACACAGAACATGTCCAGTGTATGTGATTGTCTTGAATGTAACTGCCCTAATCATCATAACCTCAATTCTGGCGCCTCAGTCAATAGGCATTCATTCCCTAAAAACAGAACACTTCTGAGTGATGACATACTTACATAAATATAAAAGCCTCCCACACAAAAAAATGTAAAGGGAGGCCACCAATCTAAAACCTGGCAGTTAGGACCTGCCTGGGGGCCTTGATTCAGATTTAAAAATCAGCCAGATAAAAAAAGACACTTATTTTGCATTCCAAAATAAGGAAGTGAGATTTCTTTAAGTCACTCTGCGGTAAGTTAATAAGGACATTAAGACAAAACAATGAGGCTCTTAATTAGCTTTTATTTCTTTTCCAATTCAAAAGTGGTGGATTAAGAGAACTCTGTATTTGTGCCAGTTTCTGCATAAGGATTTTGGTTCCATCTTCAAGATCATAGGATTTTAAGAGCTGAACAACCTTTGAGATTATTTGACCTAACCCCCCACAAAAGTAGAAATTGTCAGGGCTGGGATGGAGGTGGGGGGACAGAGAAACATTCTAGCCACAGGCTGACCTTTCATCACTTGGTTCCTAGATGAACCACTCAGCACACCCCAGCCCCTCTTTCAGAATACGACAGCTCAATAAACTTTTAATTAAATAACTCTGGTAGTTGTGTTTTTTTTTTTTTTTAAAGAACAGAATTTTGGCCTAAAATACTTTAACTGAGTATACATTTACCTGACTGCCTTGCATACAAGGGGTAATTAGTTAATAAGGGTTAATTACTATTGTTAAACAAAGTTAGAATTATTCAATGCAATTCAGTAATTATTCAATTTAATTCAAGAGTCAGTTGTGGAATCCTGCAGTGTGCTAACTGGGAAATAAAAGTATTACCTTAAGCCTACAGAGAATACCTAAGTGGCTGCCACAATTTCAGTCAGGGACTCAGCAAGGCACATATCATATCCTCCCTACACACACTCACACACTCACACACACACCAACGGATAGGAGAGCATCACTTCCCTGATGTTTCTGAGGTTTCTGCTCTGAGAAGAGCAACACACAGAGTGAGAACAGCAGAGTCCTGGTTACCTTTAGATTCTGAAGAATCCACGGCTGAAAGCACAAACAGAGGAATAGTGATGATAAACATCAGAAGCAGAAGGGCACTGAGCATAAGCTCCAAAGTTGTGAAACGCTTCAACTTCTTTCTTGCCATCTACAAAAAAAAAAAAGGGGGGGGGGGACAATTTAAGATTTAAGTTTTATTTAATATACAGCTGGTAATTTTTTAATGGCAAAACTCAAATCTAACATAAAACAAGTAACTCACAAACCCTTATGGATGTAGCCATCACTTGGATTAAAAATGATCAATTCAAGGGCACCTGAATGCCTCAGTTGGTTAAGTGTCTGACTTTGGCTCAGGTCATGATCTCCCAGTTCATGAGTTCAAGCTCTGCATTAGGCTTTATGCTGACAGGCAGAGCCTGGAGCCTGCTTCAGATTCTGTGTCTATCCTTCTCTCTCTGCCCCTTCCTCATTCATTCTCTGCCTCAAAAATAAATAAATGTTAAAAAAAAAAAAAATCAATTCGGGCCGCCTGGGTGGCTTAGTCGGTTAAGCGTCCGACTTTCACTTAGGTCATGATCTCGGGGTTCATGGGTTCGAGCCCTGCATCGGGCTCTGTGCTCACTGCCAGCTCAGAGCCTGGAGCCTGTTTCAGTCTGTGACTCCCTCTCTCTCTGACCCTCCCCTGCTCACGCTGTCTCTCTCTCTCTCTCTCTCCTAGAAAAAAAAATAGATCAATTCATGGCCAATCTCATTTTTTCTTTATTCCCAGTTACTTCTCTCCCTAACTCTGGATTATTTTAAAGCAAATCTTAGATAGCTTTAAATCTGAAAATATTAAAGTATCAGAGCACCTGGCTGGCTCAGTCAGTGGAGCATGAGACTCCTGATCTCAATGTTATGAGTTTGAGCCTCATGATGGGTATAGAGATTACATAAAAATCTTTTTCTTTAATATTTAAGCATTAAAAATAAATTTTATTAAAGCCAAATAACATACTGTTGCTATACAAAAAATTTTTTTTAAGTAATTCCTTAATCATCAAATATCTAGTTAATGTTGAAATTTCCCTCATTGTCTGATATTTTATAATTTGTTCTACTTTCATCAGGATGCAAGCAAGATTTATATACTGTAATTGGTTTGTGTCTGTTAAACATTTTTTAATCAACAGGTTTGTTTTGTTGATTTCCCTACAATCTGGATTTTGTCGATTGCAACTGTGTGTATACTAACATGTTTCTCTACTCTTATATTTCCTGTAAATTAATGATAAGATTCTAGAGTTTTGACCAGATACAGGTTTGATTTTTTAGCAAGAACAGTTCACAGCTGGTATGCAATCAGCAGGAGACACATAAAATCTAGCAGATTCTCCCTTTGTCATATTAATAGCCATTGGCAAGCATTTCTTAGATCCATTATTCAATTTGTTGTGACAGTGGTACTATGACTCTACCATAGACTAGATGAAATATTACTGTGGAGAGAAATTCCCCTCATATTACTTAGATCATAAAGGTACAGGAAACCAACTTGACAATAAACTATTAAAAAAATAAAATACATATATCTGTAAAAAAAAATAAAAATAAAAAATAAAGGTACAGTTCATATAGAAGAAGTAGTATCAATGTTTGACTCTATTTTCTGGCCTTCAGATAAGGAGTTGTTGCCTTACCATCCTCCAAAGAGGACCAGTGAGAATATGTGTCCAATGTTTTTATGAACTCATGGGTTTAAACACATCTGTACCCACCCATTGATATCATCATTAATGCTCAAGTTGGTCCCTGGTAGTCTTTGATAGTTTCCTTGCTCTCTGTTATAACTGGTGACCTAGGCTCATTTTGCACATTTCCTGCCCCCAGTCTCTAATCAAACATCTCCAAGGCAGCTTTGTTCTTTTCAGTGGAAACAATATTTAGAGACCACAGTTTGGATGAGAAGTGGTGAATGCTACAACTAAATGTAACTGATGGGTCATCTTAACCAGATGGCTACCTCTGAATTCCCAGGGAGAATGGTCAAGTTCAAACAAATACAGAAAGAACACATTTACCTATGTCAAAAGTTGTTATAAATCCTCAGTAGGGATTAAAATATTTTGGCAAGAAGTTTAAATCAGATACTCAGCATGTGGAATCTCTGGGGTTAAGGTCTAGATACCTGATTTTTTAAAAATCCACAAATAATTCTGATATGCAACTATTTTTCAGAAACAGTGATCTTATTATAGGCTTATAAATTATAATAAACATATTTTAGTAGGCAAAACTATATTAAGAAATGGTGTCCATAGCAACATGCAGAAGAATGAAACTAGACAATTTTCTCACACCATATACAGAAGTAAACTCAAAATGGATAAAGGACCTGCATGTGAGACAGGAAACCATAAAAACCCTAGAGGAGAAAGCAGAAAACAACCTCCTTGACCTCAATCGCAGCAATTTCTTACTTGACACATCCCCAAGAGCAAAAGAATCAAGAGCAAAAATAAACTATTGGGACCTCATCAAGATTAAAAGCTTCTGCAAGGCAAAGGAGACAATCCATAAAACTAATAGGCAACCAACAGAATGGGAAAAGATAGTTGCAAATGACATATCAGATAAAGGGTTAATATCCACAATCTATAAGGAACTCACCAAACTCCACACCCGGAAAACAAACAATCCAGTGAAGAAATGGGCAGAAGACATGAACACTTCTCCAAAGAGGACATCCAGATGGCCAACAGACCCATGAAACGATGCTCAGCATCCCTCCTCATCAGGGAAATACAAATCAAAACCACACCGAGATACCACCTCACGCCAGTCAGAGTGGCTAAAATGAGCAAATCAGAGGACTCCAGATGCTGGCAAGGATGTGGAGAAACGGGCACCCTCCTACACTCTTGGTGGGAATGTAAACTGGTGCAGCCCCTCTGGAAAACAGTGTGGAGGTTCCTAAGGAAACTAACACTAGAACTCTCCTAGGACCCAGCAATAGCACTGCTAGGAATTTACCCAAGGGATACAGAAATGCTGAGGCATAGGAGCACATGTACCCCAGTGTTCATAGCAGCACTCTCAACAATAGCTAAAACATGGAAAGAGCCTAAGTGTCCATCAACGGACGACTGGATCAAGAAGATGTGGTTTATCTATACCATGGAATACTACATGGCAATGAGAAAGAATGAAATCTGCCCATGTGTAGCAACGTGGATGGACCTTGAGGGTGTTATGCTGAGGGAAATAAGTCAGGCAGAGAAGGACAAATACCATATGTTTGCACGTATAGGAGGATTAGGAGGATCTTAACGGAGGACCATGGGGGAGAAGAAGGGGGGAAATAGTGGGGGAGAGGGAGGGAGGCAAACCATGAGAGACTCTTGAATGCTGAGAACAAACTGAGGACTGATGGGTGTGGGAGGGAGGGTGGCAATGGGCATGGAGGAGGGCACTTGTGGGGATGAGCACTGGGTTAAGTTATATGGAAACCAACTTGACAATAAACTATTAAAAAAAAAACAGGAAAATTGAATTAAAGTCTATATAAAAAGGAAAAAAAAGAAATGGTGTCCATGAAGTTAAAACCAGAAGTGGAACCAATAGTTACTCAAGCTCCTTCATTTTATGGATAAATAAGGTGAGGTACTTACAGTAGGCAAAACACCTCTCACTAATAAGGGAGGATTAGGCAAAGTAGCCCTCACTCATTCAACCTTCTCACACCAGGGGAAGATACAGGGAGACCTGTGCCCCGAGAGCAGCTAGACTGTTCCCGGGATGGATACTGATGCCATTGGTCCAGACACGGAGCCCAGGAACATGGCAAATGTCCTAATAAAAAATAAAATACCACATTCCTAAGGGTGAGTGCGATGATCAACACAGAAACAGGACCTGAAAGAAGGAAGAACTCACAGCTGTTAAAACAGGGACTGTAACTGGCACTGGCACTGGGTCTCTGAGCAGGTTCTTTTAGACCAGAAATGCACAGACATGTTTAAGGTTCTTTCCTGACATGGAGTGAAGCACCCCATGCACATTCCGATGAGGATTATGCCTTGCAGGTGGTCCTTTCTAGAAATTTCCCTTGGTGCCTCCATTGTGGGACTTTGTCCTTTGCGAAGAATAATTTTCATTCTGGTTTAAGAGGTGCCGCTACCCTCCAGGAGTAGAAAAGAACATAACTCCCCCGTCACTTACTCCACATCCTTCCCAGGGTTACTGTGGTCACCACTGCATTTATCACCTTTCTTCTGACCCGCTATTACCATTCTCTAGAAGGCTTCCCCTTTACAGGTTAACATTCTGTTATTCTCTCTCTCAAACATTAACTAAGTCATATCTTTTAGTTGCTTGTATCAAATTCCAATGGCATTTTATTAGATAACATTTGGTGTCTTTGAAAGGGAAAGCTTGACATGCCATTAGCTAAGCTAAGTTTTGAGAACCATAGAAATACCCTATCTGTAGACCTAAGATAGAATGCAACTTCCTACTCAGATTGCATTCTATATTTGCAACAATACTGAGATATAAGAATGACGAGGCTAATTTTCCATTTTACGAGTGAAAGAAGGACTGGGAGTCTTTGTGTTTAAATGACATGCTCTCAAGGCTCAAGACAAGTCTGCAGCACAATTCGGGATCCTCACTTCCACCTTAAGGATTGTCCTTATGACCACACTGCCTCTTAGATAAGGGCATACTTTGTCTTTCACATTTTTGGGGAGAATGTACATCTATAGACACAGATATAGCACTGCTTCAAAAGCACGAAAGACCCTGTGAAGCTATACTATAATGCAGAAATGTGTCACTCAAGAGAGTGAAGCTGATGAGTCACAATCAATACACAGCCAGAATGGAGAAATTCCCCTATAAGATCTTACATAGAAGTAGTGAACAAATCCATTGTCAAGTTGGGTAGTATGATGGAATGATTTCTAAAATAAGTTTCATTGATCTAGTTTCTTGTGTCCCCTTAAGTTATAGGAGACTGTACATCAGCAGAATCTTGAATCAGTCTTAGTGAAAAGTGTAAAGTAAAAGGGAGGAGAAGAGCAGAGTAGGAGAATTGCTTCCATTGGCCATTGGTTTTGAGGCCTCAAGAGCTTGTAATGGCTTCCATTACTTAAAGATGAAATGGTATCATCTATAGTCTAAATCTTTTAAAGTTTATTGATTTTGAAAGAAACAGATAGAGAGCAAGTAGGAGAAGGGCAGAGACAGAGGGAAAGATAGAGAGAATCCCAAGCAGGGTCCACATTCTTAGTGTGGAGTCTGTACCCAAAAACCATGAGATCATGACCTGAACTGAAGTAGGATACTTAACCAACGGAGCCACCTAGGCATCCCTATAATCTAACTCTTAATAATCACTCTAGCTAAGGTTTGGTGCTTCTGTATGCCAGGTATGTTCCAGATATTACTGGTAATCTTTATAATCTTGAAATACAGGTATTATCCATCTCTATTTTATGAGCAATGAAACTGAGGTCAGAAAGGTATAAAACTTATCAACTATGATAAACAGTAGAGCTGAAATTCACTCTAAGTCTATGTTCCAAAGGCATAGGTCTCTTCATGACTGCAGGAAAACCCACACCCTCCCCCAACCCTACCTTCTACACTTACCAGAATTGTGTTTCTTCAGTTCAAACAATATTCCTCTGAGACTTAAAATTAATCCTCCTTCCCTCTCTTGCTCCCTAGCACTCTATCTGTATCTATACTCATAACTCTGAGGACAGTGTATCTTCCTCTCCTAAGTTTTAAGCTGCTAGAGGCCAGTGAGTGAGAGTAGCTCACCCTTCCCTGAGTTATCCCTCTCAGCCTGAGAGTCAGAGATAGTGACTCTGGTTCTGTGAGCAGCTGGGTGGTGCGGGGGTAGAGAGCACAGGACTGGGCCATTCTCCTGTTGAGTGTTGCATCTTCTGGGAATCCAGATCCCTTTCAGTTAACGTGATGATGCCACCATCATTTTCTTTGTGCTCTATGACGGGGAAAATGTTGGGAAGAACTCCACAGTCCCTCATGAGATGCCCCTGGCAAGTGCTCTAAATGGGTATTTGTTGACTCAGGAGCAAGACTGAGTGGAAACAACACCATAAGATGGTCTGTGTCTCTGCTCAGGGACCTTGTTCTTCTTTCCTGAGGGATAAAGGAGGGACGAAATGAGAAACCGTATGCCTTCATCCCAGGAATCTCACCAGTAACCACAGGAGTCCAAATGAAAAAGAGAAAAAGAAAAAAATTGGATATAAAAAAATAATATAAATTGGAACGCAGTTATTTATTTTTACAAAAGGATCCAAGGTTTCTTTTAATCAGCCATTTTTGAAGTATGAAGGAGAGGTAATCAGTATCTCTAGATCTCTAGGGAGGTTTTTTTCAGAATACACAGCCACTTCCCTCTCCATCTGACCTTTGTAACTATTTGTCATATCAATAACAGCTTTCATATGAATTGTAAACCATCTTTTTATAAAGAAAACATACACTAGTAAATCTACTTTCTGGAAGATAATGCTCTTCACAGCCCATTTATTAAGCAAACTCATAACTGAACACTGGTTCATACCCTCTGTTGCTCTATCCCCCCGCACTCTTAGCTCAGGGCCCAGTGATCTTTCTGGGCAGAACTGCCTCCAACTCTATAGACCCCTTTCCTCAGGCTGATTATGAGCTGAGATATTCTCTGTTTTGCTGTACCCACCACAATGGGCATGTCTGCTTTTCTTTTTCCATTGTGTTACAGATTCATTTGATCCATCTTTATAAGAATATCAGTGGAAGTTTGGGAAGGAAAATTAAGTCCTACGATCAGTCTATCATCTTGAACCTTTCTGGGTAAGTTTTAAAAGTTCCCCGAATGACTTTGATATTCAGTTCCCTCCACTACTGTTTGAAAATCACGTTGGGAATTTTGAGTTCATCAGTGGATTTAATAACATCATATGACACTATATTATTGAGTGGGAGGAGGAGTGGCAGGTGTAAATTGGGGACAGTAAAAAATGGGACAAAAAATAAGTTGGAGACAGTAACGACAAAAAAACAGATAACATATTTGGAGGGAGTCATAGGGGATGGGTGGCCCCTTGTGAAATTATCAGACTTGTTAAAGCACCTCTAGTATGTCAATGTACCCATTCTACCTCTACCCCCAGCTCATTTGTGGTCAAGTGCATAAGTTTTCCTAAGGTGTCTCCCCAAAGGTGTGTCTACTTCCTGAAGTTTACAATACCCTTTTCCTCCTCAAATTGTGAGATCCCAGGCATAAAAATTATGCCTGCTTCTTCCTATTTATTTCCTTCCTAAGTATCTACTGGTAGAATCTGCATAATCAATACTTATTGATCAATAACATTTTACTCCCTGGTTGATTACTGTGCTAAATATTTCATTAGTATTTTCGTTCATCTTATCCCCAAGTGATCCTTCTCAGAACAAAGAACATGCTAAATAGGGCATGAGAATACTTGAACTTGAACTTGATTTCCTGCCCTACTATTTCTTGCTGTCATAGCTGAAAGAATTTCCCTAATAGCCTTAAGTCTTGGTTTTCTTTGAAAAAATTCTTAATGCTTATTTATTTTTGAAGGAGAGAGAGAAAGACAGAGTGTGAATGGGGGAGGGGCAGAAAGAGAAGGAGACACAGAATCCAAAGTGGGCTTCAGGCTCTGAGCTGTCAGCACAGAGTCCGATGTGGGGCTCACCCCACAAACCGTGAGATCATGACCTGAGCTGGAGTCAGACACTTAAATGACTGAGCCACCTAGGTGCCCCTTGAGCCTTGGTTTTCTTACCTGTAAAAATGAAACTAACAATACCTATTGTTATTATTACCTATCATCACTTTCTTATTGAAAATCAAATAAAAACACTTCAAATTTCAAAGCATTGCATGTCATTATGTTATTATTTGCCTGAGACAAGATAGTAGGTGCTGGGTAAGAAACAGGATGCTCCTAAGACAGATGTTCACTTACTTACAGTGAGTGTGGCAGTGCACCTCACTCAGTGTTTCACGAAATGGCAGATGCGTGTTCCCGGCTGCTGCCTTTATGAACCTTTTCTGATCTACTCTCCTATCTGCTGAGTGCTTTAGGGTCTCACGTGTTGGATGAGTCACTCACTACCTGAGGCCCAGGTGCAGAAAGTCAGGAAGAAACAATGGGAGGTAAAGTGTCTGTCTTGTCCGTTCAAGACCCACTTTCTGCACCCACATCCACAGCTCCTGCCCCACGCTGCCTTGTACATCACACTAGCTTTACTCAAAAATCACAGCCCTGTTCTTCTTCCCTCAGGCCCCAACTTAAAGCTCCCAGCTTGGGAATCTTAAACTTACTGTTTCATTCTGCCTTTCAGCTTCGTTCTCCACTCAATCAATGTGTCCTCATGCAAGCTCCACATTCTGCACAGTCCTTCACCCAAGGATTAAATGACAAGAGATTTGCTTCCTATACCCTGATGAGAAATTGCTCTTTGTCAATATAACACCCTCTTATTTGTGAAAGGAAATGTGGCTGTGCTTTTCCCTATAAGGACGACTTTGGGTCTTCTAACCTAAATTACCCAATTCCAATCTTTCTTACCTGTTCTGTCCCCAACACTTCATACTCCCAAAGGCCTATAATATTAATCTCCCATAATATTGATCTTGCATATAAAATTCCATAAAAATTAATAACCTTTCATGCCTGATATAATGAAGTTGGCTAATGAGGTAAAGAGTGATCTCATGTTCACTGGCAAGGACAGGAGTTATCAGAATGCCCATCTAAGTGGTCATATCTTCTTCCCTTTGATGGTTGCTAGTAGCTATGAGATAGGAGATTGCTTATCTTTGGTTTCTCCAATGTTTATAAACACACTGTATGAGACACTGTGAAATAAAAGGTACCCACACATTGTACACACAGTCAAACCGTAAATACCATACACTTAATGAAGATTTGACAAAAACTATTAAAACGACATACACTCAATCTAGAATTTCATTTGTAGACATTTAGCCCACAAATACACTTGTACATCGAGGTACAGATAAGGGTTTTTCATTTTGGCTGATATGAAACATATATAACAGCAAAAGACTGAGAACAGTGTAAATATCTATAGAACAGACTGAGGAAAGTGTGCAATAAAATAAAATTCATTATTTTTCAAAATTATGATATGGTGCATTTTTAAAAAATTTTTAATGTTTATTTCTGAGAGAGAGAGAGACAGAGACAGAGAGACAGAATGTGAGCAGGGGAGGGCAGAGAGAAAGAGAGACACAGAATCCAAAGCAGGCTCCAGGCTCTGAGCTGTCAGCACAGAGCCCAACAGGAAGCTTGAACTCATGAACCAGGAGATCATGACCTGAGTCAAAGTCAGATGCTTAACTGACTGAGCCACCCAAGTGCCCCTGATATGGTGGTTTTTAAAAAAGTCCACAAATTCTTTGATACTCCTCCCTTCAGAGATGGAGTCAAATCCTCTGTCCCTCACTCTTTGAGAGTTGGATGGACTCAGTGACTTACTTCTAACAAACAGAATGTGGCGGAGGGGATGGTGTGTGACTCCCAAAACTAGGATGGAAAAGGCAGTACAGCTTCTTCCTTTCTATTTCTCTTGAATCATTTTCTTGCTCTTTTTCTTGGCTCAGTTCTTGGAGAAGCCAGCTTCCACATCACAGTGACGCTCAAGCAGGCCTATGTAAAGGTCCAACAACCAGCGAGAAACTGAGAGGGTTAGCCAATAGCCAGGGAAGGGCAACATCTCAGAAGTGGGTTCTCCAGTCCCAGGCAAGCCTTCTCATGACAACAGTCCCTGGTGACATCTTGGCCGCAATGTCATGAGACACCTTGACCCAGAAACACCTAGCTAAGCTGCTCCTGCACTTCTAGCCCATAGAAACTGTGGAATAAAAAATATTTCTTGTTTCAAGCTGTGAAATTTAGGAGTAATTTATCATGCAGCAATCAATAATTAATAGGCATGGATAAATAAGATTTCTTGAATAATGTATCACTTGCATTAAAAAAATCTTTCTGCCTCTTATCAAAAGTCTTTCTGTGTCATATATTTAAATATGGTTACCTGTTCTATGGAACAATAATAACATTTCTTTAATGTTAGTTTATTTATTTTGAGAGAGAGAGAGAGGGAGACAAAGAATCCCAAGCAGGCTCCACTGTGTCAGTGTAGAGCTCCATGCAGGGCTTGACTCCTTGAGCCATGAGATCATGATCTTAGGTGAAATCAACAGTCAGATGCTTATGCAACTGAGCCACCCAGGTACCCCTGGAACAACAATAATTATTTTCTACTATGGAAGAGAAACATTTCTTTAAACCTTAAAAAAAAACAAAAACAAAAAACCAAAAAACCTTCAGCATCATCTAGCTGACATTACTTTCTGAATCACAGGGATCTTGATGGTGAAATCTACAATCTAATTTAGGAATGCAACTTAGGAAAATGAAATTGAGACAAATGGCAAAAGGCAAAGACAATAAGAAAGTAATCTAAATTGCTTACTTGCTTTTAAAAGAAAAATGTTAAACAACCTGTTACTTGACAGTCTGTTATCAATCTTTAAATATTCTATTCCAGGGGTGCCTGAGTGGCTCAGTCAGTAAAGCGCCTGACTTCGGCTCAGGTCATGATCTCATGGTTTGTGGGTTCGAGCCCCGCAATGGGCTCTGTGCTGACAGCTCAGAGCTTGGAGCCTGCTACTGATTCTGTCTCCCTCTCTCTGCCCCTCCCCCACTCATGCTCTGTTTATCTCTGTTTCAATAATAATAAACATAAAAAATTTTAAATAAATTAAATAAATATTCTATTCCATACAACAAAAAGTGTACAATTTGATAATAATG